AGTGCAATTAATACACAATATATAAATATAGATTAGTATTTTTTAGTCGAATTTGTGAAAAATTAGGTAAATTTTTTTTATATTATATTGTTTTAATAAAATATTATGAGTAAAAGTAAAAATAGTATCATTTTTATTTTAAAAACTAAGTTATTTTAATTTTTTCTATAAAAATTTATTAAAATGATATAATTTTAAAGTGTTTTTTATTTTTATTTTTATAAATTTAGATGATAAACATTTTTTTATTTAATAAATAATTTATAAAAAATTTGAAAAAATCCATATACACGTGAAAAACTTAGACTATATGGATGTTAACTGTATATTAATACATTATTACTCCTCAATTAATTATTATAAGAGAGAAAAAAAATTGTAGGCCTAATAATGTTGCACGGAAGGATTTTTTTTTTCTTTGGACAAATAGTTTAACTATTAATTCAATGTTACATATTTTTATCGTTTGTAGAATGTATATAAAAATAATAATCCATTCACATCGACTACTAATTTGATCGAGGTTGATATTCAAACACACCAACACATCATCAAAATGGCAGAAAGATGATGGTCTAAGTGACATGCTCACCAGTTCTTATCCACATCAACAATGGTTAACTAATTCCAAGTCAATCAATAATTGGCTCCATATAAGTAACATGTTGTTCGTTAATTTGTTCATAAAAAATATGTTGTCCATTAATTTTTTATTTTGATCAATTTTTATCAAAATTGTCTTGTAGTGCCAATATAATTTTCTAATTAAAACATAAATCTCCAAAAAATTTTCTTCCTGGATTTAGATATGTGCATGAACCAAATAATACCAAGCTGAGTAAGCATGTTTTTCATCACAACATATAATTTTAGAATAATAATTAATACACTATTTAATTTAACATATTTTATAATATATTTATTAAAAAAATTATTATTTTTAAATTTAAATTCAAAGCAAAAAATATTTCACCTACAAAATTTAATGACTAAATCGATATATATTAATAACTGTATTAAATTTAAAAATATACCAATCATTTTCCATAACTTTAATTATTAATCCAGTTCGGTTGGAAAGATACAGGACGATGATGTAGCACTAGGGATGGAGCTTATTTATGTTATGGTCCCCAAAAATTTTGAAACCGATTAAAATATATTAATATTTTTTATGAATTTGTTATTTTAAAAAATCATTTTTAAACAATTGACTCCAAAAAAAATTTTTGGTCCCTCTTTAAATTTTAGTCAAGTTCGGTTCCGTGTGGCATTTCTCTAGCACATTGGTTTCTTTGAAGAGTAATGATCTACGGGATGAATTTGTGGGGCAATTTTGAGGGACGATTTTGAAAGACAACTTTGAAAGACGATAAATAAAACAGTTTCAATAGTAATTATTAATTTGATCATGTTTTCACTTGACGTACCCCAAAATCATACTGCAGATCATTACTTTTCTTTGAAATATATTGTCCCGTTGGCCCTCGGAAAGTTTCTTTGAAAGGGACGCTAAAGCAACAGTATTCTTCTTTATCAATTTAGGACATCAACTCCCAAAGTTGTCGTTCTATAAAGAAGACTTTTCGTTTTATCAGTGATTTAGACATTTAGTCATTTGTGAGTAATATATATATTCCTCCTTTTTCGGCCGTTTAGAATTTTTTTTTTTGTCGAGATTGTACTAGAAAAGAGCTGGGTTAATTAATAATTACCTCTATGTTGTGACCCCCTCCTTAAATTTTGGTTAAGTTTCGTCCCTCCACTAATAAAACAAATGAATAATACTTGTTCTATTTTGAATGATATGGTTCAAATGAGAGTGACTGCAGACTTAAAGAGGGAAAAGATGTTAGATTAGGGATGGTAATTTGGCCTAAAACCCACAAAGCTCCATAAGAATCATCGTCTTAAGAATGGAGGTAATTTTTTTCTTGTAAAATGGAATAGAGGTAATTTTTTCTCTACGAGAATTTCTTTCATCTTGTCGATACTTAGGAGGATCCATACATAAATAAAAATATATAATTTATAGTTTTATAAATTATAATATATTTATAAAAACATAAAATCCAATTAACTTTTACCCAACCTAACCTAAATTTATATTTTTATAAAGGATTTTTCTATGACCAAAAGATAATGATGTATTTATTGCATCTTTTTATTATTAATCATGCATTAATTTACATAAAAAAATAAAAAAATTAGCATTAATTTTAATATCTATGGCACATGAATATTTTTATTAGATAATTAGTAAAATTAATTAATATCTACTTTAAGTTTTATTATGTGTATTAATAATAAAAATGTGCAATAAATGCACCATTATCTTGTGCCATTCCTTTTATAAATTATAATTATAAAAATATAAAACCCAATTTGTTTCAAATTTTTACTTTCTTTATGTTGTTTTTATGGATTTATTGGATTGTATGCATTTGCCTGTTTCAAATATTTATTTATTTATTTACTTATTTACATAGTACTTTTTTATGATGTTTGTGAAATTTTTTACGTGCTTTTCACTTCTACATGTTTTTATTTTTATACTCCATGAATTACACTTTATGTAATCACTATGAGAAATGAGATTTTTAGTGACAAAAAATTATGAAGAATGTTGAAATCAACACTCTAATTCATTACATTTGTGACAAAATTTTAAAATTAATCACAAATGTAAGTATATTCAATAATGATAAAAAAAAATTCATCATTAAAAAGATGTCTTATCACTGAAAAATGATCACAAATAAAAAATAAGTTTGTAATAATAAAAATCATCACTATAATTCATCTCAATTAAGACAAATTTCAAATATTGATCACATATACCTTACACATTCAATCATGATAAAATAATTTATCATTAAAAATATATTTCGTCACTAAAAATTGTCACAAGAAGAATACATACTTGTGATGATAAAAATCATCATTACAATTTAGCCTTAATTAAGTTTTCTCTAATCAATGATTCCACATCAATAAAAAACACATAAGAGAATAAGGTTTCGCATTATAAATATATCCCACATCGATGAAAAATATTTAAGAAAATAAAGTTTTGCACTATAAAACATGTGAAGCTCAATAAAACTTGACCTTAGTTTGAGCTTGATTAATTTTAATCAAAATTAATTAGTGTTGAAATAATAGTATTTTTTGTTAAACTTTTGTGATAAATTTATATATCAATTTTTTTGTGACAAAATTTTTGTTACAATTTTTGTGTTGTAATTATATAAATATCTTTTTAATTTAATATCAATTTTAATAATTAATGACTAAATTTTTCATCACAATTGTATTTGTGACTATTTTTTTGTCACTCAATTGTAACATTTGTGATGAAAATTATTGTAACAAATTTATAATTTTTTTTTGTAATGACTAAATTTGTTATAAATAACTCATTAATAATGTATATTTTTTTCATCACTATAAAATTCTTTTCTGCGATAAGTATCAAATTTGTCACTAAAAGCATTAATAATAAGTGTTTTACTAATGATTTAAATTTCATAACTAATTTTAGTTTGTGACAGAAAACAAAGGTTTACTAACTAAAGTCACTAAATATAAATTTTCTTGTAGTGAATGTTATAAAATTTATTTATTTTGAATTCTATAATTTTAATATTTGGCAAAGAATCTGTATACTTGCACGGACCTACTAGTCCTTACGAAGATTGGGATGGAGGATATTTTTAACCACTGCTAAAAATCTCCGTAGGGACCCCATACCCATCATTGGCAAAATTGAGGATTGGGAGGGGGTGGGAAACCGTTACCATCCCTATGTTAGGTAGCGTGATTTTGGTCCATGTCATTGCCCAATCAATGCCAACTCATCACATATTAACAGGCAACGGATGATTTAACCATTGGATGGCATCATCTTGACTAAAATGTATTGAGGATTTTGTGAAGTTGAGTGTCTAATCTGTCGTAATTTAAAGTAGAGGAGTTGATATGACACAACATTATAAGTATATGAACTAAATTGCATCTTTTGTCTTTTTTCTTTTTTTTACATCTAATAATAATGTGTTATATAAAAAAAAAATCCTCTATTTTTTAAATCCCTTTCCATTTATTTAAGATTTAAATTTAAAATTTTTAATTTAAAATTTTAAATTTTTAATTTAAAATTTTAAATTTTTAACCATGAAGACATGTCTCGGTCGCACCTTTTGCCCGTTCTATTCAAGAGTCTTCGGCTCGTAAGGACTTCCAGTCAACGTGTACAGTTATTCGTGGAGGTTAAGCCATTATTAATAATGGACGTAACCACCGAAGAAAATTGCCTTTTATGTCTTGACTTCTTGTTCTTTTAATTGACTTATTTGCTTCCTAGATCACCGAAGATTATTTTATAAGTAGGAGAACTGCCTTCGATTTTGAAACCAGAATAGCTGATACAGTATCTTAATCTCAGTGTTCATGGATATGTGGGGGCGGGTTTATTCGTTTCTTTTTGTTTTCCTCCAAATATTTTCTCTTTCTCCATGCGTGGCTTTTGATATTCTCAAACAAGACAAATTTCTTCATGTTCAGAAACCAGAAGATGTTTTGGTTTCTGCAAATGGTGTCTTCAATGCCGGGTTTTACCCTGTTGGCGAAAATGCATTCTGCTTCTCCGTATGGTTCTGCAATTCAATCGATCCCAATCGCACCGTTGTTTGGATGGCCAACCGTGACCAACCGGTAAACGGAATAGGTTCAAAGCTTGAGCTATTGAGGAACGGAAAGCTTATCTTGACCGACGCAGGCAGAAGAACAGAATGGACTGTAGACTTTGTTGCAGCTTCCCCTGTTCAGCTAAAGCTTCTCAATACTGGGAATCTTGTTCTTCAACAACTAGATGGTACGGATGATGCCTTCCTCTGGCAAAGTTTTAATTCCCCCGCAGATACCTTGCTTCCGGATCAAGTATTAACCAAAGACACTTACCTTATCTCATCAAAGAGCCGAAGCAACTATTCTTCTGGTAATTATAAGCTTTATTTTGCTGATAATAATGTCCTGCGCCTTAGCTACCAAGTCCCCGACATAACCAGTGTCTACTGGCCAGCTCCATGGCTTGTTCCTTGGGAAAAGGGAAGTGAAAGGTCTACATATAACAGCAGTCGTGTTGCTGTACTAAACTCTTCAGGTTATTTCAGGTCATCGGATGATTTGTGGTTTTGGGCCGCAGATTTGGGTATAGGTCCGCTGAGACGTTTAACTCTTGATCCTGATGGCAATTTGAGGCTTTACAGTTTGCAGGATGGGAGATGGATTGTTTCTTGGCAATCCATTAGTCAACAATGTAGAATTCATGGCCTCTGTGGACAAAACAGCTTGTGCAAATTTGATCATGTTTTGGGAAGGACATGTTCTTGCTTGCCAGGATACAAAATTAAGAATTCTACCGATTGGTCCCAAGGCTGTATAGCGGAATTCACAGGCTCTTACGACAGGCGTGAGTTCGGATTTCTCCGACTTACTCATGTTCATGTTGAAACCTACGGCTATCATATATTCAAGAACTACTCTTTACGGAGCTGTAACGAGCATTGCCTGCATTCCAAGGACTGCAAAGGGTTCCAATTCAAATACAACTTCGACGAGGGTAGCTACTATTGTTTCCCCAAGATATTGTTGCTTAATGGATGCAGGACAACAAGTTTTGGGGGCGATTTCTACTTGAAATTACCCAAGTCCCGTTTATGTTCGGAAAATTGCAGTGAAGAATCGAGGTCAGGTTGTCCGAACGTGAATCAGATCCTAAACAGAACGTATGAAAAGGGCAAAGAAAATGGATACGTGAAGGTTCTGCTTTGGTTCTCTACTGCGCTAGGAATTGTGGAATTCATTTGCATCTTCTTGGTGTGGTGTATTTTGTTTAGAAGTAATGAGGACAACAAAGTAACAACCAAAGAATACGTCCAAGCTGCAAGTAGATTCAGAAGATACACTTATTCGGAGCTTAAAAAAGCAACCAAGAATTTCACTGAGGAGATAGGCAGAGGCGGCGCTGGGATTGTATACAGAGGTGCACTACCGGACCAACGCATAGCTGCAATCAAGCGCCTCCATGAAGCTGACCAAGGAGAAGCAGAGTTCCTTGCTGAAGTGAGTACAATCGGAAGGCTAAATCACATGAACTTGATAGAGATGTGGGGATATTGTGTAGAAGGGAAACACAGGCTCTTAGTTTATGAGTACTTGGAGAATGGATCTTTAGCGGATAATCTATCAAAAACAGCATTAAATTGGGCAAGAAGGTTTGAAATTGCTATCAGCACTGCAAAAGGTTTGGCTTATTTGCATGAAGAATGCTTGGAATGGATTCTACACTGCGATATTAAGCCGCAAAACATACTCCTGGACTCCAATTTCCAACCAAAAGTCGCAGATTTTGGTCTATCCAAGCTGCTAAGCAGAGGTGGTATCAACACCTCAAGTTTCTCAAGCGTAAGAGGTACAAGAGGTTACATGGCTCCTGAATGGGTATACAATCTTCCAATCACGTCCAAAGTTGATGTTTACAGCTATGGAATTGTGGTTTTGGAGATGTTGACAGGAAAGAGCTCAACAGGGGCCCGTGCAGAAGGGAGATCGGCAGATTTGGAGCAGGGCCAGGAAAGGTTGGTTCCATGGGCGAGGAAGAAGATAAATGGAGCCACTTCAGCGGAGACATGGATTGAAGAGGTCGCAGATCCAATGTTGGGAAAAGATTATGACATAGATAAGATGAAACTCCTTATTGAAGTGGCCTTACAATGTGTGCAAGAAGACATGCACGCTAGACCCACAATGAGCCAAGTTGTACAGATGCTATCACTCCATGATAATGAAGCTTCCCAGTACTTCCAAGGACCTTAATTTTTAGGACAAGTTGATCCTGTGCTTATGTAGTAGTTAATTTTATTCGCTTTTAATGTTTCTACCTTTCTTGTGCTCCTTTCTTTTATGTACAACACTTTTCAAAATCATTTTTTTAACCGCACCATATAGTTTTTAAGAATAGCACGAACAGAAACAGCCATACCAATAACATCAGGCATGGTAAAATTTGAAAAAAGAAGGTATTTTAGAATACCTCTTATTTTTTGTGTGTAATAAGTACAGGGGCCAACAATGAAATTAGCCCTCTGTAATCAGTGCAGACAAGATCATCATACGTTTCCCAGATACCAAGACCTGAACCTTTACCGTTTGGATGGGAAGAACAGACAATTATTTTCCGCCATCCAACCGCTAAGGTATGAGAGTCCTGGTGAAATCTTTGTTGCACACATTATCTTCTAATCTGCATACCAAGACTCGTACGTTCGACACGTAGGATGACAGGAGATCCTTCTCAAATTCCAACCGCTAAAGCCATTGAATGCCTTGGCGATTTTGCCTTGCAAAGGTGTTATAGAATGTGAGGAAATTATTTAAAAAAAAGAAAGAGTACTTTGGTGTAACTTGTTATTGTTATTGTTCTCGTTTCTTGTTTTCCTGTTACTGGAATTGACACCAAAGGCTCGAACCTTCGTAGTTGAGGAACCAATTTGACCCTCCCACCACCGACTTATACAAAGTTTTGGTGCTAGTGAGTTCAAATATATTATATTTCTACAATATTAACTAAATAAAGCCCCTCCTAAAACAAAATTTACAGTACGGTCTCCCAATCGAGGTTGTTTTGTCACAACATTTGGAAGCAACACGAGCCGCTGAGAAATTAAAAACATTAAAAGCCAAGACTTTTTGTAAACACCTAAAAAAAAAAATATCTCTTTTAAAACAAACTAATTAAAGAGTTATTTATTGCATACATACAATGCGCACATGCATTGGACTGCTAAGTACCATGTCTTTGAGCAACTCTTAAAGATATGGCGTTTGATTCCTTAACCAGACGGTATTTATTTTGCAGAGGAACTTCCGAAGAGAAGCTCTGCAGGTCTCGGTTCAGATTAGTAGATGACCTTAATTGGTCGTCATTGTTTGTCAGAAATGGACAGTTTAGCAAAACTGCGTTCTCAGCATAACTGTTTGACCTTTATCTTTGTTTAGGGTATTCCTTACACCTGCCATGGCCTATGCGTAGAAGCGGTTGTGCGTTGGAGTTGGGGTATCGGTCCCTTGCTGCGTGCAAGGGACCACTTTCCCTCTGTTTGTCAACCAAAGGAAGGACCTTACCAGTACTAAATCAAGCATTTTGTCAATATCTACCTCACCATGGTTAAACAAAACTTCAATCCTAGTAAGCCAAACAGTCCAAGTTAAAGCACACCATCCTACCTCCCAACCAATTCTCCCCGTGTAGACACTGCGAGAACCTCATGGTGGACATCCCACACATTTCCAGCAAGCACAGTTTGTAAACCCTACCACTTGTTCTTAGGATTTGCGGACAATGTTTTTAGACCAAATAATTGTGCCTTATTCAGCCAAGGGATTCATTGGTTTCAGATCGTGAATACCAAGCATTTAATCTATTATTAGTTTTATGAAATTTTCTAATATGTGTTCCCTTATAGGTTAATAACGTATTTATTATATTTTTTACTATTAATTTAAATAAATAAAAATAAAAATTTATTTTAATTTTATCAACCATCTAATTAAAATATTTTAAGTGACATTTGT